TTTAGATTAAAAGTAGAACATAAAAAAATAAAAGTAGGAAGTAATTTCTGTTAGGTTTCTCTTTTTTTTAATCATCCTATAAATTAGCTTACTTTTGAGTTTTGATAAAGGATGCAGCCTTTTCCATGTCAACATTGTTTTCTCAGCCTTGAGTCTTATTTCATTTTAACTTAAAAGTGCAAAAAAGTTAAATAAATCTTTGGCTCTTTTAACAGGAGCTTCAATGGAGAAGTTATACGTAATAAGTATTCAACATAGAGCAGACAGCAGTATTAATGACTTTATTTGGAAAAACTGTAAGATTTGCTGACCAAATGGCTCATAAACAATGCAGTTTTTAGTATCTGAGCTCTGAAATAAATGGCTGAGAATGTATTTATCACAACTTTTATATGAGTAAATAAGTAGTCAGTAATTGTGACATTTGGTACAAAAAATGGCTGTGGGAGGGTGTTTCCCCCCCCCATTTTTTTCATGTGTGTGGCTTTGCCATCTTTCTATCACTCTTGCTTTCATTTTATAAATATTTATAAAATTCTGCAGTGTTTACTGCCCATCTCTATTTTTTAGGATTCTTTGTATCCACTTAGATCATAATTACTAAAAGATGGAACTTGCTTGAATTTCATTGCTTATTAATTTATAGCAATAATGTACAGTAGTTATTACTATAATCAGCTTATTTATGATGTTTTCTTAATTAACAGTTTTTATTTTATTAGGAAGCATATTATGATGGACTTTTTTTAACTCTGTGGAAAGGTAACATTTAATCATTTATTTGCATTCGCTCTGTTTGTAATAATTTATATTATTTTCTGTTTTATTAATGTCAATTTTTTTGGACCCAAGGAAGAATAGCTGCAGTTTTATGGGGATCTACATTTAATATTCAATTAAGCCAAACTAAACTAGCCTCTACGTATTTAGTGTTAGATCATATTAGTAGAAACCACATGTAATTTACTTTTCACTACAATGTGCTGATTTGTGTTGATCCAGCACATAATAATATTCCAACAAAATTATAGGAGACTTAGTTTAAAAGTATACTAGCAGAAAAAGGGATTTTATTAAAATGTTAAATAAGGTATGAGGTCACACATATGTTTCACTGCATGAAAAGTGGGATTTTCGTCAATATACGGCACTGTAGATTGTCGTGGAACTTCAGGTTAGCGGCAGTTTACGGCAATTTGCAGGCTTCGTCGAAAACTCCCGTAAATTGTCAGAAATTTACGTGGAATTTCTTAGGCAGTGTTCCCCCCATGCCTCCCCCCCATGGAATTCTAGGGGAGGCTTTAACATGTAAATGAACATGCTGTGAGCTATACAAATGCAAACCAGGGTTGCAGGGGGGGTTTTACCCCAAGTGACATCTTTCTGAGGAAGAAAATCTCTGATACAAAGAGATCAGGCTTAGTATAGCCTCTCACATTTTAGCTTGAATTGATTTATTTAATTAAAGTATAGAGACCAAAACAGATCTTTAGCTGACAGAGCAATACATTTAGAGCAGTAATTATTTTAAAAAAAATTTGCATTTAAGATAAAAAATAAAATATTGTCTGTCAATATGCTCAATTCACAATTACTTAAGTGGAAAAGTTTCAAGAAATGAGTCTGAGATGATTCACTTTATAACATGGCGCATTATCCTGTTGGAAGTAGCCATCAGAAGATTGGTACACTGTGGTCATACGGTCTGGCCAGGTCAAGATCCGCAATTGCAATCGCACCAAACAGGAAAAAGAACATCGACAAATTCCGGTTCGTCAAATTAAAATATAGCAGCAACAGATTGGTGACTAGAAATTATAGCACAATTCTTATAAATATCTAAAAAAAAAAAAAAAAAAAACTAACACCGTTTATTTAAATGATTGGATCCAAACTATTGGTTATTCACCAACCAGGAAGCAGATTTCTCATCTCCATTAAAATATTTATTTTATACCGAGGGACTTAAAGTTTAATCAAATCCAGTTAAAAGAAACTTCTTATTACAGGAATGAAAAGAGATGCTAAGTTGTAGAGAACAAGTTCATAAAAAAAAAAAGCAGTTTTGAATTATCCTTATCTCTGTTACAAAAATCTACAAAAATATATATATATATATATATTTGGGCAGAAACTGAACATATGCTGGATGATGGTGGGATTTTTTTAATATGTCATATTAAATTAAGCGCTCACAGGGTTCATACAGGAATGAGTGACTCTAATTTAATGCTATTTTAATGCTATTAGAAATGATTTTAATGCCATCAACAAGAACCATGTACACAAGTTATTAGTGTACATGAAATATGAAGGAGCTGCAAGCAGAGTTCCATGACTCCTGTATGTATGTAAACACACACACACACACACACATATATACGTATATATATTCTCTAGCTTTTTCTCCGCCTCGAGCTTCCTTTCCGAACATACGGCTTTATAAACAGTTCCACGCAAATTAATAGCGATATAATATCTGACGAAATTGTTTTTAGAAGCATTTTTATTAAAGAATCATAAATGCAACGATAAACATATTTAATTAATTTTAGTGCCAATTAAGGCCTTGATTAAAAAAAGAATTATGAATTGTAATTATTTTTAATGATCCGCGGAAACCCTGGTTCATCTGGCGCATGCCCTCTACGATCTCCAAGGAACTCAGAGAGGAGGGGACGGAGCCACAGCGGCGGCTGTAGGCTTTGCTTTGTGCAGGCGGTCTGGAGCGCAGCGGGGCGGAGCGGAGCGGAGCGCAGACGGAGTATGTGGGATTTCGGGGTAAAACTCTTCTTGGACGCGATGGCGACTCTGCATCGAACAAGACGAACTCAAAGAAGAGATGCTAGCGGTAAATATATGTTCGATTACTGCCTGCTAAGCTAAAAGCGGCCTAGCCTGAGCTATGGCTAATAGCAGCCTAGCTATTAGCCTATCTAGCCTAGCCTTGCAAGAACAAGCTTTATTAAAGTGCATTTTTTGTGATTTACAGGAAGCAGTACGCCGTCTTAACAACTCGGAGACTAATTGCAGGCGCTATGAACCGGAGCAAGGGTAAGATTTAAAGAATATGCTTTCATTCTGCGGTAAAAGGTAATGGATACCGATCATAGCTTTACATTTTGTTTTCACAGACCTCCTTTTTGCTCGGAGCCATAATCAGCAAGTCCAGATTTGCACGATGATGATAAAGACGACATTGTGTGTAAGTGACTTGTTTTAATGTTTTCTCCTTCCTTGTTACTGTGACTTGCGTTTGATTTTTTATTTATACCGCTCTCATTTAATTGTTTTCCAGCTGCCTGTAAGACGTATTTTCAGACGGTACGCAGGAGCTTCAGATATACGCTGCCAGCCAACACGCTGCGTGCGGAGGCTATCTGCTCGGAGTCGGGCCAGAAGAAAGAGGGTAAGACTTTATTTGGTGACTATTTTTCAGGTGCATTAATAGATGTGTTGTGTCCATACGCAGTGCGCTGATTCATTTTTTTTTTTTCAGCTGCTGAAAGCGAGGCAGAGTGTGCTAGCAGATGAGGAAGTGGAACTCTGGAAGTCCGCCGTCGTCAGCGGTGTCTCTGGATGGATTGTACGGTCGCCACCATTTCGTAGGCCGGATCCCTCTGAACTCTGTGTTAAGCTGCAGTCCCGGTTAGAAGCGATGCCGAAGTACAGAGCCACGCACAGTAGGCGTCTGCACATCGGACCTGCCTCGGAGGGAATGCTGCCAGTTACCTCCAACCCCGAGGAAGCAAACGGACCGTTCACGGACTTTTAATTTTTAGAAACGCATGTGTTTGGATACGCGTTGTATATAGTTGTGTGTGTTTTAATAAAGCTCTTTCTTTGCATAAACAGCTTCCTGGCAAATGTTCATTTCCTGTATAAATTCATTCATGTCCTTGATGGTAGCATAATAATTGTGTAGTAGTGTAGGATAACATAAATACACACCATATGAATGAATAAATATATGAATGAATAAATATATGAATGAATAAATAAATATATATATATATATATATATATATATATGAATAAATATATATATGTAAATATATATATATGCCAACCAATCACGAGCGACTTTACTTGTTTAAAAAGAAGCGGTTCCGTCCAATACTCAGTAAGAAAATTAAAGCCTGGCGTGGCCACGTGTGGTTTTGCTGCCAATCACGAGCGATTTCATTTGTTTGAGAATAGTGGTTTCAGCCAATACTGAGTAGGTTATTCAAGCCAGACCTGGCCAGCCGCGCGGGTTTGCTGCATTCATATGCTAATTAGGGCCATTAGTACAGCTGATCGCTCTCCACATACGTCACGGTACGTTTCCGACAATTTGTGGCACGACAAACGCGGACAAGCACGGGTTGCAAATTGTCGGAAACTGACGAAAATCAGGCAGATCTGCGGGAGTTTACGGGGACGAAAATCTCACTTTTCATGCAGTGTTTGGAGTGACATTTAAACACACTCTCCACAAGAAGTTGATTAGGATGCTGAGAAAAGGACAGACGGCTCCAGCTGCCTCTCTCAATTCATGGTCATTAGCTGTGGAACACGAAGCGCCTTTCAAACTCATTAGTTGATAAAACAGCCTTCTGATTTCCCATTAAAAAACCCATTGGTCCTTCTTCCCTACTCCCCCCACCTCATCCCTGGATTTCCACACCTACAAAGTCCCCCACCGACACCAGGAAACAAACAGGCAGCTCCCATCAATCTCACACAAAGAGTGGTGAGTTACATGAAAGATTTTGAGCCACTGATTTGAACTAGTTGCTTACTTTAATCTGTAAGATTTCTATTTTACCATTTCATTTCCACTGTTTCTTTAAGCTACGTTCCCTCTTGGGATTGTCGAGCTGATGGGAGCTATTAGTGAGCTGAAATGGGAAAGTAATTGTGCGTCACACCGTCTGTATATGTGACTTGAGTTTCTAATGCACACTTTTTAAAGTATTCACCTTAATACTTTGATTAAAGAGAAGCAAACTCCTGTATTGTTTCCTGGCAGAATAACAATTTATTTAAAGTTGACAAAGTAAATACATATTTGTGCTCTGTGGAGTTGAACAGCTTGGCTTATATACATTTTAATACACTGCTAGACATACATACAGATATAATCTATTAATCACATAATTAAAATGATATCAATCATCACTTACTGAATATTCAGAAATATCAAAGTCCCCATCACCCATATACCAATGTATTAATCTAAAGTTATAAAAATGTTCCTTTAACTTTTTATTTGTCAAAAACATTCATTTAAAGCTGAGTGGTGTCAAAATTCAAGTCAGTATGTTTCATTCAGCCAGGATCAACTTTTCTAATTTCTTAATCCATCATCTGCAGCTGTTGGCACCATTTTGATTTGTCATTATCCAAGCAACTCTAATAAACAAACATACAAGGAGGTGGCCAGTGATACTAATGAGAAGTCACTGAGCTAAACATACTCTTCTTCTTCGCGTCAATGATCCTTAAGGCGCACCTGAGCACAACTTTGTTCTCATTTCTTATTCTGGCTTTGAGAAGCAGTATTCCTCCTTAAAATTCAGATTTTTTTGTGTGTGTATTTTTACTCACTGTAATGGGTCAAACAGGCAGTTTTGGTTCTGAGAAAAACATCAACATAATGCCAGCAGAAAGCGTTTTACAAGTTTGCATGGATGTCCTCATGTCGCAGCACTTTATAGGTAATCCAGTAGAAGATGTTAAATATGAGAAAGCTCAAGGGAAAGACAGCTCTAGATATTGTGTCGATCCGTTTAGCTCGGTCAACGAAACGCTTGTGAAGTACTTCACCGTCATATAAAGTGACTGGGCGAAGAGGGGAGAAAACCGTGGGCCCTTCCACACCAGTCCCGTCTTTGGCTTGTAGGCAGTGACCAAGTCCATAACCACGGAAGTAAAATCCTCGGCTCTCCCTCATTAGTTCCTCCTCCTGTGGGGGCAAACACAAGAAAAAAAGATTGCTTTTGTGTTTTGATTTCCATATTACTTAGAACTGATTACAAGGGGATTTTCCAGATGTATTTGAGGTCAAGTTGCTCAAAATAGCAGCAGTAAAAACACTGGGAATTTATTTTTAGAAAAAAAAAAAAAAAAAACTTGAAAGGTAGATTTTAAGAATAAAAAATGATGTCTCTTAAATGCTAAACAAACCGAAATGACAATTTCTACCACAATGACCATCTGACCATTTTGAGCTGAAAGTTGAATTCCCCCATTGTGTTCAAACAATTATTAATGAAATTTATTGAAAAACAGATCTAGTTCTCCTGTAATGCCAATCCTTCCAAGCTTTTGGTATGTTGAGTTGAAAAACTCATGTCTGGTATACAGGATGTCCCTTAACTAAAGGCCATCTTTAAGTCTCCTTAGAAAAGATGAAACGATAGACTGACTGGGATTTAAATGATTTGCAAATGTAGAATAAAAATTTGTTGAGCATTTTCTTATGTTCTGAACTTGAACAGTTGGCATGAATTACCGCTGCACCTCTGTTCAACTGAATCAAATTGAGATAGTATCAATTTGCAATCGATTTTATCTTATGCTATTCATTTGAGGTCATGATCTCAGTACTGATGCTGGTCTGGTCACCAGACACACCTGCTCAGCTCAGCCCCATTCTAATAACCACTCATCTGATCCACCTGTACCTATCAGTCTATAACCAGCCTTTACACCAAACATCAGAGCCAGATTATTTCAAGACATTGCTGAGATCTATTACTTCCTGCCAGATTGCCCGAACTGATCTGTCCCTGTTTCTGAGTCTGCCTCATCCATGTCTGACCTGACTGCCTGCCTGTTCTGCCCGACCCTGATCTGTTTGTCTGCCTGCCCGTTGCCTAACCTGGAACTGTTTCTTGACCTCGTCCTGGATTTCCCTCTGTTACTTCATTGGACTTCCAATCACCTGGCTCTGACCCTGGACTTTGCCTGGTTCTGGTTTGTCCTCCTGTTCCTCCTGCATACTATTGTCTTCATGGTTCTGATCCTCTGCCTGACCAAGGAACATTGTAACTCAGCTGGAGTTATTCTCTAAGACTTCCTGACCAGTGACCAGCAACCTCAGCCCCACTGTCGACCGGCACGAACCTAACCCATTGGTTCTTCCCAGACTGAGGGTTAAGAGAAGGTTAGTGACCCTTAGGTTTGTGATTGATGTACTTTGTAAGGCTAAGCTGGTCACTAATCTTCTGTCTCCATTTCCAGAGGTTCCTGCCCTAGTTGCTGAGACTACCTGCAGCAGTTTCATTTCAATAAACTGTGTGAAGTTTTCACACTAGTGGTCTAGTTTCAATTCTGGGTCCATCTGTTCTGATGATTACACTTGACCAACATGATCAATTCATAAACAAGACTAAGTATTACCTCAATTCAATGCAAAACTTTTAAAGAAATTTTTATTCAACTAAACACATTCTAATTAGATCATATTCAAATAAAATACACCATAACCCAATTTCCAGGCAAACTGGTGAAGCGTTATTCTTCTGAGGTTGAAATGATTGAACTCATGCTTCGCATCATTATCTACAATCCAGCAAGTACACTGTGTGCAGAATTATTAGGCAAGTTGTATTCTTGAGGATTCTTTTTATCATTGGGACACAATTGTGTTCTCAATCAACCCAAAAGACTCCTTAACATCAGAGTTTAATATTTTTTGGAAGTTGATTTGTTTTATGAGAATGTCTGTGAATGTCTGTGTGCGCAGGTAAATATTACTGTGCAGAATTATTACTGTAGGCAATAAAATCAGTGGAGAAATCAGTCTTCAGATATTTATTGAGCACCTTGTCCTTCTCGGCACTCTAGACATGTTGCAGCTCTGAAACATGGCACAACTGGTGGCTGATGGCTTCCTGACAGCATCACGCTTGATCCTTCTCAATTAATGGGGAGTTATTTTGCATCTTCTTTTTTCAACACGCTTCTTGCGCCCCTGTTGGCTATTTTCCATGAACCGCTCGATTGTGCGATGATCCCGCTTCAAAAGCTTGGCCATTTCTAAACTGCTGCACCCCTCTGAAAGACATCTGACAATTTTTGACTTTTCAGGATCTGTCAAATCTCTTTTCTGACCCATTTTGCAAAAGGAAAGGAAGTTGCCTAATAATTAAGCACACTGTGTGTAGGGTGTCGATGTCATTAGGCCACACCCCTTCTCATAACAGAGATGCACACCACCTGATTTACTTAACTGGTAGTTGGCTTTCAAGCCTATACAGCTTGGAGTATGAAAAGGATGATGTGGTTGAAATACTAATAATTCTGCCCTCAGTGTATTTGGTGACAGGGGATGGGAACAACTCCTGTTTTTTTTTTGCACATCAAATCTTACATTGCATTTAGTTAAAGGTCAAATCTTATACTCAGTGATGTTTTCTACTTTCAGCATGTTTATTATCTATTTTGTTATATTTGTTTATATTTGTCTATTATACAGACTGAATTGAAATTAAGTTATTTTGCCTTATTTCTGAACGTAATGGAGGAAACCTTAAAATCAACAAAAACAGAATTGGAGCAGAATTTGCTCTAAAATTCTAACTATAAATGCAATATTCAAAATTTCTCTCTACAAAAATACCCTGTGTAGATTTTAGATCTTCTTATGTCTGATCTCAACATTGGAAGAGCAAGATAGTAGTAGCAGTAATGGTAACTTTTTGCTCTATACTACTTTAAAAAAGGCACAGTTTATTTTTACATTGAATAAGAGATTGTCTCTGCCCTTTGAAGCTAATATTTATAGATACAGATTAATCATGAAAGCCTAGATGACACTTGACGAGATTCGCTTTAACAGGAGGAAGTGAAGATGTGTGATCTAAATTGGACGATTAGCACTCAGTGTGAAGGCCTTTGAAAGCTCTCATCCAATTTTTTTACCTCTTACTTTGTTTCACCCTCACCAACACTGACAGCTGCCAAATTCCAGACAATCTTGAAACATAGACCTTAAAAGCTCCCATCAAATGCTATTCTACTGATGTGCATGCAAACTGTGTGCTCTATATACACCATGTCTCTAAGACACATACCCTGTAATTGACCCCTGCTGTCTTTACATGGAGCTCCAAAGTTTAAGTCTGTTAATGTCATTTCCCTTTAACATTGCCTGTATCACAGCAGGCTGGTTTTGAAATACTTTATAGTTACTATATGCTGTCCAAATGACAAATTGCACCACACAGTAAAGGTATAGGGTATAGTTCCTCCCCTAGCACTACTTAATTATTTCTCCTACTCTTGTTTTAATAAGACAGTATGTCATGCGCTAGGGTCTATGGTTCTTCAAGGGTAATAACTGTTATTAATCTCTGCTCTGTTTCCTAAGCGCTTGTTAAAAAAAAACAGCAATGTTTCAGTCTACCAGACAACTAAAATACAACTATGTTTATGTTATAATTTAAGGAGTATAACTTAATTTTGAATTAAAACTAGAGATGTCTCGATCTAAAATTACAACAAAAGAGAATAGAAAATTCCTTTATTTTCCCACAATGGGGAAATTCTGGTGTTTACAGCAGCAAAAAGATTATAGATCAGATATTGATGCAATGTTAGGCAAAAAAAAAAAAAGATCGGATTACATCGGCCTTCACTAAAATCACTGCCAGGATCCACAGAAAACAGTTTTATCGAATATGGACCTAAAAGCCACAGCTGCACAAAAGCAATTAACCAAAGACATCTTCAGGACTGGCCAGTCTGCATCTGGACAGAAAAACTTCAGAAAAAGCACGCCAGTGGAGGACTTTATACAAGCCCCCAGTGAAAAAAAGACATGGTAATCTACAATGGAGAATGGTACACGGTGCCATCGCCACAAACTCCTTTTTAGCATCCTTTCTGCGGTCTGTCTGAAATTGTGTTCCATGTTTTTATGGAATGCACAACACTGAAAACAACTTTTAGCCTTTTAATTAGTGTTTTTACTTTTTTTGGGATGGTATTTACAAACACTCTTTTTATAGGAGGAGTTTGCCAGAATAGGAAAAATAAGCCAAAGGCCTCCTGCAGGAGGGACCTTATCATGATGCCATGGCTCTGTGGAGGTGCAACATTAAAGCCAGAATAAGGGTGGAGCCACACAGAACATAGTGGATTTTATTTAGCTGTGGGGTTTTAACAAAATGTTATGTACTGTGTTAGATTAAGGAAAACTACAATTTAAAGCTCCTCATTTAATGATTTTTGGCTGACACTTGTTTTTACCGTCGTAGTGATTTTTGACAGACCCCATGTTTTTTACCCCATTTATTTTATTACCCCATTTACACTACCCTTGAAAAACCGCGCCGAGACCGGTCCGAGCTCAGTAACTGAGATAACTTATCGTGTGTAAATGGAAAGCAAACTGAACTGAACCGAGCTAGACACAACCGGACCGCGCTAACTGCAGAGCAGTTCCAGAGGTGGGCTCGGCTCGGTTTTCCCTGGCTCAGTTCTCTGATAACAAGAGCGCATGAGCAGAACGCGTCATCTCCGTCTGGCTGCACATCCCGATTCACACTCCATTCCAGCAGTTGGCGGTAATGCCCCTCCGGAAGTTGCTTGCCAACCAACACAAAACAGAAGAAGAACAACAACTATAAACAACAATCGAAATGTTCTCCACGCAACATTTTGATTTGCTTGATTCTCTCCTTCTTCGTCTTCTTCTTCTTGTGTTTTATGGCGGTTGACAAACAACTTTTGGTGCATTACCACCACCAACTGCTTGAATTCCTCCTTCAATACTGGCAGTAATACCACAAATCGTCACTAGGAGGTGAGGAGTCGAGGAACCGAGATAGTGTGATGTGTAAATGGTCGTCAGAACCAAGCTCGGCTTTTACGTACATAATAACTTCTAACGTATCTTTATTAATAAAAATAAAATTGAATAAGACTAACTTAGTTAACGTCACAACAGCTTTAAAGGAAGAAGAAGAAAGAAAACAAGAACAACTTTGAAACATTTTAAGAGAAGACATGTTTAAGAGGATTAAAGGAAGGAGGTTTGTAGTTGGGATAGTACTGGCATACAGGAGCAGAAGGTGAGAAACAGAAGGTTTATAAAAAAAAGGATGTGGGTTTGGCTCTGAGAAAGATGACAGTATAAATTCACGTTTGAGGTGAACTTTCCCAACACAATCAATTTGGGTGGCTGCAGGCACAGACAGAAATTGGGTTGGAAGGTCAGGGTTGACATAGGCTTCATTCCTTTTTTTTGTTTTGTTTTTACCCTTGCACAGGCGCTGCAATGCTGACTCAGATTCCTGCAGGCTGAGTTGTTACCAGGAGTGTCATTGGCTTTCCGCAAAGACTCAACGCTTGCAGCCAGACTGCCAATCGCCTCCATCCAAAAGGAAAATATAAAAATAACAAGGGAAAAAGTTACTGCTTTGATTTAACCTTTGATTTTATTACTCACTTCAGGCTTCTGGTTTGGGGAATAAATTTTTTTTTCTTTTCTATCTAAAGAATAAAGGCCAATGCATTAATTAACCCTGCGTTTGATTTGGACTTTACTCTCTACTTAATTCACAACTTTTCTCCAGTGTAACTAGTCGGGTCATGTGTCGATACATCTCAGATATAGTTTGACCCCAAACATCTCTGAGGGAGTAATTGTGCTACAGAAGTGGACATGCACCATCCTTTTCCCTAAAAGGCTATTGTACTCTCCCCCATGTATCGATGGAGGAGGGCATTCTGCCCAGTGACCCCTCTACATTTATACAGTGCAGGTCTGTAACTGTCCACTCTAAGCCATTAGTCTGTCAAGATGGCTTGTCTATAAAAAGACTTTCTTTAACCTTTATTGAAAAAAAAATTAATCTAGTTTAACAGGGGTATCATGTACAAAATGATTTTATAATCAAAGCAAACGTACCTTAAATAGAAACATTACAAACAACATCTACAACTGCAAACTTCTGTTTCATCAACATTTAAAGCATGAATTAATTCTACAAGAGTTCTTTTTGGTTATGTGTAAGGTCACATGTATTATTAATAGGATTATACAGTAAGTCATATTTTGTTATATTTCCAGAAGCTAATATAATAAAAAATAAAAAAGACCAAAAATAACATAGTTGCTGCAGAAAAAGTAGAGAAGATGAGGGAAACAATACAAGCAATTGCTGAGTGCACACCATAAATGTAAAGTAAGGATGCACTGATTGGATATTTGAGGGTATTTTCTGTTTTCTGTAAAATGCTGACCTGCTGTTAGCAAATTCAGCCAAATTTGATAACAGCCATAATCATCTAATCAAAAACATTTTTGTTTTTACTATGGGAGTAGAGAGAATACCACATAATATGGCTAAGGGAGAAGTCTCCTTTAAAACAAGCTTGTTCTAATTTGGCAGATAAAAACAAACCAGTTATGGTTAACATCCTAACTAAAATTTAGAGCAAGGTGGCCTAAGATTTCCAAATCTTAATAGAGAATGAAAGTCAAAAGGAATAAAGCAGAACAAATTGTCTCAAATGTATTAACTTCATATTTCTGGTTGTTCACTAAGTACAGCTTCTTGGAACAAACATCTCAAAGTATTACAAAAAAAAGGGTGGTTGTCTTCTTTCGACTCTAGCTGATCAGTGTATTTGTAAAATTTTATTGAGGTTTAAGAAGGTGTTATCGTAATCAATTTAAGAATATATTTTCAGTGCATGAAGTTGGTCATCAGGGCTACTGGCTCTCATATACCTAAGAATCATGGAAACTTGTTTCTCTGTATCAAATGGTGTGACATAAATAAAGCTCCTCACAGGTCAGTGCCCACCATGGAAATGAGCTGCACTGGGATGAACAGATTTTCCTCATGTAATATGACAGATAACTGTAGCGTGTTGATGTTGTCAGGTCGAAAATATACAGCATGCCACAATAACAAGACACATAAGTCAACATTATAGGATCCTGCAAGGAGATGTACATGTGCATGTGTGTGATTTACTGTGTGCCTACATTTTAGGAATCAGCTGTAGCATGTGGTAGTTTGAATGTCTCACTTCCTGGAGACAGCCTTTAGCTGTCTGTATTTCTGCTCAATTTACACTTACTATTCTCTGCTGCCGCTGCTTTTTCCTCAGCCTGATGAATTCCTTGTGTTGCCTCGAGACAAAGTTGACTGCTGCATACTCTAGCAAGGCAGCAAACACAAACAGTAGACACACTGCCATCCATATGTCAATAGCCTTCACATATGATACCTGAGAACAGAAAACACCACAGTGATCAAAAGACAATTAGTATGGCTTAGGGAAAACTGTGGGTCGGTCACCATACACCCATTTTTTTTTTTCAGCTCTGGGTTGGAACAACTTTCATGTCTTGCATGACCTAGAATTTAAATGAGTAAGTGGGTTGTGGGCAGCTGACACATAGCGACCAGACAGGTCACGGCCAAGACTTGGGGATTGCCCCAGCTGTGTCATTCATGAAAGAAGACATGCCACAGCACATCAGTGATACTCAAGCATTGCACTGAGACTTAACTTAATTAGGCACCAATTTCCGGTTGTTAAAAAGGTACGGACTAGAACAGAGATAAAGGAAATTATACATCTATTATGATCCACCACAGTCATGCCTAATAGATCCTAAATCATGCAAAATTATGACTAAATCATTTTAACTAAGCATGCCCGTTGTTTTTCTCTGAATGATGCCCACAAATACACTTTTGTAACTTGTATGTAGATACAATTAAACATCTGTCCCCATCCCATTGAACTGTTTCAGGTCTCATCAAAAAAATATCAGGACAAAAAGATAAAGCATGTATCTGTTTTAAAGGTGCAGTAAGAAAAAGTATGTTTTACATGTTAGCTAAACTTGTCCTGACATTAACATGAGGCAGATAATCTGTGGGGGAAAAAAATCTAGCTCCTCCAAGACTGTCTGGTTGCACACCTTCACTGTGAGATGCTTCTGCATTTCTTCTCTGCTGTCATGGAAACACATGCATTTAGGTATTTTAGAAAATTGAACTCTAAAAAATGGAAAACAGGTAACTGTCTAAGTTTCGTATCAACTACTGCATCATAAGGAATTACTACTGGTCTGTAACCCCGCAGACTGAAGTTTCTTGAAGAACAAACTTAAAAGGCTTAGTCAATGAGAAAATTGTAGATTTTCTGCATAAAAAAAATGCATAAAATATAGAATGGATCTATGGTGACCAGACCTCAAAAAACAAATGTGGGACAACTTGGATGCTTATAAAGAACAATGTTGGACATGTGCAGCTATGCCTGTCTTCTGTGAAGTACAGTGTTTTACATCGCTATAGCCTCCATATGAAATTGAAAAATAACTTCAACAAACTTCTTAAAAGCTCTTGGAGTAGGAGAAAAAAAAAAGCTCTTGGAGAATCACATTTCACACTGGCCCAACCCAGTTTTAAACTCACCTTTTGCAATGGCAACTCTCTTTCATTTTTTTTTACTTTCCATAATTTGAACCAAACAGTGGGAATCAGTCCACTGACGTAAATAATGTGGGTGAAAAAACAAGTTTCAACCAACAACTGCTTCATAGTTAGTTGTCCAATTTGTGGAACATTGAATACTAGGCAGATGTAGGGTGTTAAAATATTAACTTTTTTTTTATTGTCAATCATGTGTCACCATTTCCCCTTGCTCATGCTTTGCTCAAATCTCAAACTACTGCAGCGGAAGCATGCTGCTTTTTAAAAGATTACTATGATTACAATTTAGTTTGTCTTGCTACTTTGTAAGCATTCCAACTATAAACCAACATAAAATATAGCCAATTAGCAGATTTACCTTTGGCAGTGAAGCTCTAGACCCGGAGCTTTGTGTGGTCATTGTCAACACAGTGGTGATACCCAGACCAACTCTGGCCGGTGCAGCATCCATGTTTATCCAAAAGGACACCCAGGACAAGATAACGATGAGGAGTGAAGGGATGTACATCTGGATCAAGTAGTAACCCATCTGCCTTTCTAGATGAAACTTCACCTCGATGCAGGTGAATTTACCTGCAGGAACAGTGCATGTGATAATTAACTCAAAACCTGCAAGGATGTTCATTAATCCCTGAATTCTTTCAGATTCTTGATGTCACAACCAGATATTCAAACCATTTTAAAGGGATTTTCTGACTGACGAGTGAATTGTGGGAAAAATGATTCATGGTTTTCAAGTACAAACTGCTTCTCTACCCTGATTAAGAGAAGCATCCCCACAGAATACTATTGCTGCTATTGTCTTTTTAATGGTGAATGTGGAGTATTAACTATATGCCAAACATCCCACATGAAGACTCCACTTTTCTACATGTTCGATTTGTGGCTAATTTTAATCATGACCTCTTTGGCTTACCTTTAACAGGCAATTTATGTTGTAATTAAGTGCTATTTTATAAAACAATAAAACTATAATTGAAACTAATAAAAACTAAACTTAAACTAAGCATTTTCAAAAAATAAAAACTAAACTAGCTAACAACTACTGAAACCGAAGAAAGGGAGAATGTGAAAAATCCTAGATTTATTTTTAATACAGTTGCCAAACTCACCCAAAGCCATAGCTCTGTTGAACCGCCCATCCCCCCTGCTCTTAGCAGTAATGATTTTATGGGATTCTTTATAAATAAGATTGATTTTATTTAAAAATTTAAAAAATTTTTGGCACCCTTTTAAATATGATTGGTTTATCCTTCGGAAGTGAAGTATTATCTGAGGTAACCATAGAATCTAAGCCGGGTTTAGACTGCCTCGATCCAGCTGACTTTTCAAAGTTAGCAAAACTATTATCTTAATCTAAGCCCTTAATTTGTATGTTAGATCCAGTTCCAACTATGTTATTTAAGCATGTATTACCTCTAATTTCCTCCTCCATTTTAGACATGATTAATCTATCTGTGTTACAGTATGTACCTCAGACTTTTAAGGGAACTATAATTAAACCTTTACTTAAGAAACCATCTCTTGACCCAGTGGATTGAGTCAAATATAGAATTAAATCTAATGTTCCTTTTAAATCAAATGTGGATTTTGTTATTGTCCCAGAAAACCATTGAACCTCAATTCCTCTCCGATCTTCTTGGAAAAGGTCTCACCTGTGTGCAGCAGTTCTGAGTCTTCATCACGTGCCTGCCTGCTCTCCAGCACGACATTTCTATACAATATAGCTATGCTCTCACTCACGTTTTCCTAAACCAGGGGTCGGCAACCCTTTAGAGCTTTCTCAAAAATTGATGAAAATTTAATTTTTTCCCCCGTTTGATTTAATGCGGTGTGCAGGAGGTCAAACAAAAATAAATTATGTTGTCCAACTCTGTAAACATTTGTATAATAAATACATTTAAACAATAATTTGCATTATAGCCTTAGAGATCAGTGGTTACAACTTTCAACCAGTGTGGTGCGGTGCCTGGCAAACTAAGGGGTGGGTGTGTCTCGGACCATGGATCCCAAAGGGAAAAAAGGAAAATAGCTTCAAATAATGGAGCGACTCATTTGCTTTCATTATCAATGCGGAAGGATTGCCTGCATTTTTGCTTTGGAATGAAAGGTTGTCAATTTGGAAAGGCATTTCCAAGGAAGGCAAGCTAAATCTGCAGCCGACCAGTGAGATTGCAGAACTTCTGGATAAATTAAAGGAGGGCAAAGATAGATTTAAGAAGTGGATTGCCACTCCACTACTGCTGCTAGTTTGGTTGCAAGGATGGAAAACCGTCCACAGATCCATGCACAGGTCAAACAGGTAGAGCTATACATACAGGAATGTAAACTCTCTTCCTTTTTTCCCCCCAAATCCTAAAAATATAAATCACACCAAGGAACGATGGTGACGGAGGATATGGGATTTCAGGGTTAGATAGCTCTGCTCTGATGGATGTCAGTTTCTGCTTGGTTCTTCATGACTCAATCAACTCCTCCTAACAGAAACACGTTCACCATAGAAAGATTCCTTTATCGTGCTTCTATAATTACATCAATGCAACAAAAACTTAAACCGCGGGATGAAGGGTGGTGGGCGGTGAGAACGTTCACTGCTCCTCCCTCACCTCATGCAGCTATGTGATATTTGCTCAAGGATAAACATGTAATCATGACTGCTTATTATATATTTAAGCCCACATAGTCCTTTACTATAGTGGGATAATACACTTAGAGCCCATGTTGCCATACGAGGCATATATAAGACTTTTATATTTTTGTGGCTCCAGAAAGATTTATTTTTTGTTTTTTGGGTCCAATATGGCTCTTTGAGCAGATTGGGCTGCCAGTGTCCTAAACCTTTGCAGGTTTTCAGTCTGCAAAGTCAGCTAAATTAAACCCCTACAAAACCATCCAACCACTCCATCTCCTAATTAACCAAATCAATCAGTCATCAGCTGTCATCAATCAAACCCTTCCTAATCAGCATGCTGTCTCCCCTCAGACCAACCAGGAAGTTCAATTGACTTCTTGCAGTCCTCGCTGCTTCCAGATTCTTTTTGCTTAATGTAAATAAAACATGAAAATTTACTGGTTCACCATGTACATCTGCATGTGGGTCAAAAAACTAAAAACCAGTATATCTGCTTCTGTTTCGGTGAACCCCAGTCAGGCCTTCACATATGGCCGCTCACTCTGAGACTGGTTCTGCTGGAGGTTTTTTCCCATTAAAAAGGAGTTTTCTTCTCCACTGTCGCTCAAGCATGCGCACAGTGATGGACTACTGAAGAGACAATAAAACTATGCCATCAGCTGGTTTTCCTTAGATGGAAAGCTTTGGTCAAACTGACTGTGTGACCTTGTTTAACTGAATCTTTGTTTTTGTTATCCATATAGTGAAAATGTTTAAGGAGTGTGAATTGATTGCAAAATAACCACAAAGTTTCCCTGAATAATCTTCTAAGATCAATGTAACTATATGACTGTGGAAGGTATTAGATTAAGTGCACAATATATGCTGGCTTCTGTAGGGTCATTGCTTTCTTTTAGGTAATCCAACTGGAGTTTATGATGCACCTGTGTTGTAGTGCTTAGTGCAGTAACCCAAGTCCTTTTCTTCTTTCAGCACAAACTGTGGGAGTGTGAGATCATCAGCCACTTGAACGGGGTTGTCAGACAGCCACTCAAAGATCAGGTCATTCATTGTGTAACCAACTGTGAAAGGGGAACAAAGAACAGAGGAATGTGTTAAGGAAAGGTGTCGGACTGACTTAAACCTTTCAGTCTTTATATGGAACGAAATAAATCAGTTTTTTAACCATCTAAAATAACATAGCTGACCTTTATTCAGTAGTTGTACTTTTATTTTCATTAATGTCCTAAATTCATACATTCTTGTATCTTTTTGTTTGAACCAGACACAACTCGGCAGATAATGAAGGAAAACAAAAGCAGGCAAGGAGTTTTACTGCAATGCATTATATTTTTGAGAATCATTGGATTTTCAAAGACATAAAAATTCAGCTGAAAATCCCCTAAAATTGTAGGTCTAACATTTCAAATCAAACATTTCTCAACGATTTTGACCTTTGAGTCAGATACAGCTCATGGCTGTATTAAACGTAGATATTGCCAGCTGTGATAAACACCTCTTTATCTCTACTTCAAAGAGTTTGAATTTTGTTTTAATCAGCTGCTGAATGTTTTCCCCGATCTCTATTAACAGCTTTGCTGATACTTGATTAAATATGTATAAAATAGAGCAGATGTTGTTCTTTTTATTTATTGGAAAAATGCTACTAAGTGAAATGCTGGGATAAACGAGTTATAAATGGCACAATAATAAATATTGTGTGATATAATTATCCAAATCTAGCTTCTGGATTCAAGTTCATTGTCGTCATGAATGCTACTCCTTGGGTTAAATCCCGTGGTTCTCAGCCACTGTCCTGCATGTTCTAGGTTTCTCTTGCTGCCACACACCTGATTTATATGAATGGATGTTTGGAAAGCATCTGCAGCAATTTATTGCTGCTGAAGAGGTAATGCAATTATTTGAATCAGGTGTGCGGCAACATAGAGATATCTAACACATGCAAGGCAGTGATCAAAATCAAGAAACACTGGTTTAAAGTAATATCAGGGAACAACTGCATTTATTTATAGAAAAAAAACATCCAGAAAAATATTGAATCTTTGTGTTTTAAGAGAAATATAGACCTAAAACATTAGGTAGCAGTACCTTGAAAGTGGCTGGCTGGCATTCTTTCAATGTTTCTGCTGTTTGAAACTTTGATTGTAGCCTCCAAGGCTATTGCTTTTTCTGTTAATTTTAACCATAAAACTGTCAATTTGAAATGGTTCATGTTCTCTCCATAAAATTCCATTCAAACATCAAATGAGAAAGCTCCACCTCCCTTTCAGTGCTTCTTTTTTCTGGGGTAATTTTCTACCTTTTTAATTTTTTTTTTACCCGGGTAAATGATCTGTAAACACAGAAAGGTAATGATGGCCCCAAAACAACAAACCTTGGTACCTGGAAATGGTCCCTGGAGTGAAAAATAGACTAAATGGGAAAGAAAATCAAAATGAGCTCTACTGATGCAACACCATCCAGCTATCCCTACAATGCTGTTTTTTCCCTAGTAGATGTCTTTCAGAGAGGAAAATTTTTTTTTAGGGCTTAATCCAGCTCCTGATGGATAGAAGACGAGGTTATACACCCAAAAAGACAAATAACACAATGCTTTATCAGCCGTTATTTCATTAAGTTTGTGTAAGATGTTTTTACCAGTGCAAATGTATTTAATGTAAATTTTAAATTATGTATACCATTTAAAAAAATCTGCAAAAAAAAAAGATGAAATTGGTATTTGTTGTCTGAAAATGTTTATTTCTCTTCTATTACATATTAATTTATCTCATTTACTCACTATAAAAGTTTTCACTAAGTCTGTTACACCTTGAAGGCCACACCATTCTCTGCAGGATGGTGTTTGTAGACCAGACATAGCTTATTCCCATAACAAACCAGATTCTTTCTCAGGTTTATTCATAACATGTTACTGTTTAACCAAGTGTCTATAATTTTTTTGACTACTTTTCCATTGTTGTAAGTAAGGGGGGGCTAACGCTGCTCATGCAGAACAGGGCAGAATGCTGTGCCATAAGGGCTGTATGATGACCATTCTCTCTTTGCAAAGATATGAATAAATGTGCCGACTGAGTAAAATCCATCGATCTCTGTGTATTTAACTAGGGTGAATAGTTGAATACTTCTTTCCCACGACAGTATTCAGGTAGACGGGTAGTAGTAAAACCTTTTTTGTGTTTGCTCACCAGCTTTTTCTGTTGTTCCTTTGGTGTTTAGACAATTCATCTCTGCAGATGAGCTCCAAATCTGTGATGTTTGGTGATGATGAAGCATGTTTACAGGTTTATGTCTTGCTTTTGGTTCAGCCATCCCAAAACTCTATTATTCTAATTAAACTGTAAACATATGTCTTGTTAGGTATTTGCAAAGAGCACTTGCTAAAGAACAAAAAAAAAAAATCAACTACAGTTTGCTTAATTGAAAAAAGGCACAGTAAATCTTGATAGGCCTCTTTTAAGGTTGTACACTTTTTTATAACTAATTTCAGCTACAGCTAACATATATGCAGCATAAACAACACAGGCTGCCTTAAGCATCTGAAGAATACTAATATCTAGTGGGTACCTTTAGGTCCTAAGATGCAAAAGCATCAATTATTCAAGATACTACACGCAATGCTGTGAAAGACTTCCACAAAAACACACTTATTTTGTTCTTGAGAGGAACTGTCATTCATACATCCTCCCACAACAACCAAGAATACAAGTGCCTTCTGAAAACAATGAAATGGTTTGCTTTTGCTACTGCCAATTAAAACTGTGAGGTTTACTAACCTCTAATGACCCACACAGAGGACGACAATAAATTCATGAGCCAGAATGTATGGAATAGGGAAAACTTATTGGGTAATGACCATTAGTCCGAGTCATCTACTTTCTAATGTTCAAAAGCCATCGATCAAGTGAAACACTTCGCAGTCACCGTCTCTATCTTCCTCTCTTCCATTCTTTTCATCAGCCATTGAAGTTGCAAAGTAGATTTGCGGTTATTGCACACTAACGATTCAAGGCAGGAGAACATCTTATACGCTGCAATATGGAGCTTTGATGTTTCAAAATAAGGAAAAATCCCATGCTTGGAGCCTTTTATATATCTTTTTAAAGCCAGTGGATGAAAGGCCAGACTGAACACTGGCCTTGACTCATTTAAACCTTGATAATAACTCCTAGTTTTTCCCTCCATCCTTACTTATTTTTCTGAACAGATGGTGTAGGCACATTTTCAGTAGTGACAGTAAAACCTATAATGTCCTCTCGATATTAGGCCCCAGCCAAGGTTATTGCACCCTTGGGTGGTATATTAGCACTTGTCAACACAAGGCCAAGTATCCTCACTGGGCCTTTAATCAGAAATGATTACCTCTCTTCTAATGGCAGAGGAAAGTGATACTGTAACTCAAACCAAACACACAAACACACACAAATATATACATAAATAACTGTTGGAGGAAAAATATCTTATATTTTGCTTTAATTGTATTAGATTAGCTGCATAAAATACTTTTAAAGTTCATAAATCTATTCAAATAGATTTAAAGGGTAAACATTTCCTCGTCAGGTAGCTACTGTTCTCCTTAAAAAAAGAACAAGCAGATCTCAGTGTACTCAGCAGATTTGTTGTGTTACTAAAAATTTGCCTAGGTTAAAAACTTAAAATTTGATGAGAGCTTTGAATCAATACTAATAAAATTCAAATATAGAATAATAATTACTTTTTTCTCTGAATTAACCAAAAAACTAAAGGAACAACACATATAGGCAACAAAACATTTCAAATCTACATAGTATCTATTGAAGATATATAACTCATGAAAAAAACTTAAATGCTAATGTATAAAACTATAATTAAGTCCAGGAAAAACTAGAAACCTATTTGTGTTTTAGAGGGAAAAAGGAAATTGATTTTATTATCAAATGTCAAAGATTAATTTAAACTGAAGAAGGTTTAGAAATAGGATGCTCCTTTGGGGAAGCTGACTGATTCATATTCTTTCCTCATTATAAAGTATAAACATATAATTATGTGACTTGTACCCAAATTTAAATCTGGATATTTGAGTCATATGTATCGTTTAGGCAAACAACATTCCTATCCTAATAATTTCCCAGTAGAAAATCAAAGTACAACATAAGTTATAACTTTAACTTTAAACAGACCAGTCTACTTTAATCATTTAAATATTTGATCCAGCATTCAAGCCAAATATATTTTGTTCCAAAATAGCAGAACTTAAGCGTGTCATGGTTTTGGTTCTTTTATTTACTTCGCTCCATGTTTCCTAGCTTTATTAGTTCAATTCCTATTTTGTTATAGTTTCTAGATTTATGTTAGTTCCCAGGTTTTTCTGTTGTTTTCCTCTGTTGCCCTCTTGTGTGTGTTCCTTTCTCCTTGGCTCCCTCATTGTCTCCTCTTACACCTGCTCCTTGTCAGCTCGTTGGCCCTGCCATTGTCTCAGTCAGCAATTTATTCTCTCCCTCTGCTGTCACTCCTTGTTGGTTCCTTGTTGTTGCTGGTCCTGTCGTTGCTTCTCACCTCGTCTCTCCCTGGCTCCTTGTGCCTGTTTTCCCTTGATGTCTCCATGGTTCTGGTTGTGTTACATTTTTAGTTGGATTTTTGGATTCCTGCCTTTGTGAACTGCTTTCATCATTAAAACTACAAGAAACCACCCCAGTCTCTCTGCCTTTGCATTTGGGTCCTCTAAACCAGTGTTTTTCAATCCTGGTCCTCAAGGCACCCTTGCCTGTATGTTTTAGATGTTTCCCAGCTTTCACACACCTGTTATCAATTGATAGCAGATTATCAGGCTTTGCTGAACTGCAATCATCTGAATCAGGTTTGCTGAACCTCAGAAACATCCCAAACATGCATAGCAGGGTGCCTTGAGGACCAGGATTGAAAAACACTGCTCTAAACCACAACCAAAACGTGAAAAAAGCAATTTTTTTTAAAGGATAGTATAGTAAAGTGGTTTCTATTTGTACATTTATTTCTATTCTTCTACATAGCTTTTCTATTTCTGAACCACTCATTAAGATGTTTAAATTGAGATATTTGACCTTTG